TTTTTAATACTTGACCAATTCCTTCGAATAGCAACTCTATAAATCACAAATTTTGTCTAGTTTGTACTTTGGGGGGTAAAAGTTGAAAAAATTTAAGTCTTCACAGACGAAAGTTGAAAAAACAAAAAAAAAACCGTACGAGTTTTTAAGTTAGAACTTTTACTGGCTATAGTATTAAGAAAAAGAGTCGGATCGAGTTGAAATGTTTAAAAAATATTTATTTGGTAAGCCCGCGCACGTCAGTTTTGTCAAATTCAAAATATACCCATTTCCCGCCCCCCTAGGGGGGGTACAAGTTTTTTTGTTTTTCGGGGTTTTTAGCCGTAATTTTAAAACTTTTGGGTTGAAAATTTGCCAGTAGTCGGAACTCATATGTACCCATAACATATTAAACGGGAAAAAAATTCGGCACTACAGTTTTTTTTTAATTGCCGGGAAACTGTGTTTTCGCAGATTATGTATATTTTAACAAAAACACTTAAAATCTTTAAAAAAAATTGATCAAATCATTAAAACAATTTTATTTATATCTATGCAGAATGATACTATTAGGTTTTGTGCTCAAGTACCACTCTTGACTTAAAGTTTACACAAATTCAACTTTTTTTTTTTTTTTTTACTTAAGTTCTTTCCGGATGATTAAAATTGAGAACTGATATTAAATTCGTAATCACCGACCCAAAAAACATATAATTTGACCACTTTTGATGTCTTTTACACAAAAATCCAGAAAAATGTTTTAGCTTCGATGCAAAGCGAGAAGGTATTGGTTTTACTCTGATGTGGGCTTTTTTTTTCGCTGTATACACTGTAACTTTTTTAATACTTGACCAATTCCTTCGAATAGCAACTCTATAAATCACAAATTTTGTCTAGTTTGTACTTTGGGGGGGTAAAAGTTGAAAAAATTTAAGTCTTCACAGACGAAAGTTGAAAAAACAAAAAAAAAACCGTACGAGTTTTTAAGTTAGAACTTTTACTGGCTATAGTATTAAGAAAAAGAGTCGGATCGAGTTGAAATGTTTAAAAAATATTTATTTGGTAAGCCCGCGCACGTCAGTTTTGTCAAATTCAAAATATACCCATTTCCCGCCCCCCTAGGGGGGGTACAAGTTTTTTTGTTTTTCGGGGTTTTTAGCCGTAATTTTAAAACTTTTGGGTTGAAAATTTGCCAGTAGTCGGAACTCATATGTACCCATAACATATTAAACGGGAAAAAAATTCGGCACTACAGTTTTTTTTTAATTGCCGGGAAACTGTGTTTTCGCAGATTATGTATATTTTAACAAAAACACTTAAAATCTTTAAAAAAAATTGATCAAATCATTAAAACAATTTTATTTATATCTATGCAGAATGATACTATTAGGTTTTGTGCTCAAGTACCACTCTTGACTTAAAGTTTACACAAATTCAACTTTTTTTTTTTTTTTTTACTTAAGTTCTTTCCGGATGATTAAAATTGAGAACTGATATTAAATTCGTAATCACCGACCCAAAAAACATATAATTTGACCACTTTTGATGTCTTTTACACAAAAATCCAGAAAAATGTTTTAGCTTCGATGCAAAGCGAGAAGGTATTGGTTTTACTCTGATGTGGGCTTTTTTTTTCGCTGTATACACTGTAACTTTTTTAATACTTGACCAATTCCTTCGAATAGCAACTCTATAAATCACAAATTTTGTCTAGTTTGTACTTTGGGGGGGTAAAAGTTGAAAAAATTTAAGTCTTCACAGACGAAAGTTGAAAAAACAAAAAAAAAAACCGTACGAGTTTTTAAGTTAGAACTTTTACTGGCTATAGTATTAAGAAAAAGAGTCGGATCGAGTTGAAATGTTTAAAAAATATTTATTTGGTAAGCCCGCGCACGTCAGTTTTGTCAAATTCAAAATATACCCATTTCCCGCCCCCCTAGGGGGGGTACAAGTTTTTTTGTTTTTCGGGGTTTTTAGCCGTAATTTTAAAACTTTTGGGTTGAAAATTTGCCAGTAGTCGGAACTCATATGTACCCATAACATATTAAACGGGAAAAAAATTCGGCACTACAGTTTTTTTTTAATTGCCGGGAAACTGTGTTTTCGCAGATTATGTATATTTTAACAAAAACACTTAAAATCTTTAAAAAAAATTGATCAAATCATTAAAACAATTTTATTTATATCTATGCAGAATGATACTATTAGGTTTTGTGCTCAAGTACCACTCTTGACTTAAAGTTTACACAAATTCAACTTTTTTTTTTTTTTTTTTTTTAACTAAAAACCCAGTGTACCAGATGTGAGAAACGAACAGACACTAAAAACTATCAGTTGGTAACGTCTATCCGTGTTAGATTAGGTTAGGGTCCATGATCGGTATCATAATATTGTGTTTATTACATGATATCATAGGCGACTAAATCGTGTAACTGATTATAGTAGACACTCGATTTATTGGGAAAAAAACCTATCCGTGTACTTATTAAGACATTTAATGATTCTGATACGACAAAACCACTGTCGTTATCTCGTTATTTTATAGCCTGCGTTATATAACCTTACCGAAGGTTAACTATGAGTATTTAATGTCCAACTACCTGCAAATAATGAAGAGGACTGTTGTTTTTTGGATTCAGATTAAGTGTTGGTTTTTATGCAGTATACCGCCTCAAAATGTTTTTTTTATTACACAATTTTTTTAAAGGAAAACTTATGTTTTGTATATTGTTATACTGTTATTCATTTAAAGAGATTCACGCTTGATTGTTTAAATTGTCTAATATTAGATAATCTGCTTCGTGCTAATTTTATTTTTTTAGTTTATCAACTTGTAGCTCTAATTTTGTAAAAAATATTTCATTATTTTATTACTATGTACCATTACTATTAAGATAAATTTTAATAATAATTAAGTCATATATGATAATACTTTATTTTGTGACTAGATCAAATCTCGTGAACATTTAACATCATGATACTGCTCCTATGCTATTATTAAAAAAACACAATTTTTAAAAACTCCATAATAGGTTATTGTTAAATAACAGGCAACAGCCGACCGCTAGTGGCTATACATGTTAGTAATATTTAACTAATAAGTAATAAATGTAGGTAAAATTTATTGTTTTCTCCATCACAGTACCAGTATACGATTTATTTTAATTTAAATGTAAGAAAATCGATTTTTCTTTAGAAAATAACAAGATATTAATATACAGGATGAGGCAGTAAAACGGAGATTTTCTAATGTATTGAAATGGTAAAAACCCGTTTCACTATCCCACCCTTTACATTTTAAGGATCTATGAAAAGGTTTTTTTAGTTGCATTTTATTTTGTACATTGTCAATCTAGTAAAATAGAAGTATAATATAGCTTTGAAATAATATAATCTGTGAAGTATAAATAGTTGGTTTGAGATTGCTTTAATGGAAGTATATAATACATAAATATTAATTTTATTGAGAATAAGCGATTATAATTCAAACTATGGAGTACAAACGATTGAAACATGAATCGTCGACCATTCCAACAAAATATAACAAGACATTGTATATGTGTTATTTGGTCCACTAAGTTTTTGCAAAAAAAAAAAAACCAGTACAGTGGGGTCAAGGCATAGTGGGGACGGAGCATAGTTGGGTCGGGGCATATTGGGGACGGGGAGGTCACAGGTTTACAGGAATTTTTAAATCTGAAAGTGATAAAATCACTTTCGAAAAAACGCTTCGATGCAAATCGGTAGTTAGTATTTTCAAGCCAGTACAGTCCAAACCAAGCACAGTATAAACCAGCAAAGTTAGAAAGTTTTAAATGAAGGTTCTGTATTTACAAATGAGCATCAAAGCGTTTATTTGAAAGCGATTTTATTCAATTTTATCACTTTTATTTATAATTATTCTTGTAGACCTGTGACCACTCCGTTTCCTCATTGCTTTGATTACATTATGCCAATACTCTACTGTACTAGTCCTCTCGGATAAAATCGCTTTTAAATAAACGCTTTGATGCTCATTTGTAAATACAGAACCTTCATTTAAAACTTTCTAACTTTGCTGGTTTATACTGTGCTTGGTTTGGACTGTACTGGCTTGAAAATACTAACTACCGATTTGCATCGAAGCGTTTTTTCGAAAGTGATTTTATCACTTTCAGATTTAAAAATTCCTGTAAACCTGTGACCTCCCCGTCCCCAATATGCCCCGACCCAACTATGCTCCGTCCCCACTATGCCCCGACCCCACTGTACTGGTTTTTTTTTTTTTGCAAAAACTTAGTGGACCAAATAACACATATACAATGTCTTGTTATATTTTGTTGGAATGGTCGACGATTCATGTTTCAATCGTTTTTTTTATATAGTAGGAATAAGATATCAAAAAAGTACGTCGACCGATCTCAAGTAAATTTCATGACAAATTCAAATCTGTTTTTATATTACTTATCGGATTACTGGTTGAGCCTGTGCGATGGAACAAACATTGTATGTTATATTGACTAAAATGGCTTTTACTCATAGACAAAATGATTTAAATTAAAAAAATACCTTGAAGCTTATACAAATTAACCGGTCAGTACATGTTAACATAAAAATTAAATATTAATAAAACATGTTTTTATGATATTTCAAATAACAATAAAAAATAATACAAAAATGTAATAATATTTATGATCATACAATATTAATTGTTCCTAAATGCTCTATTTTATATTCGAATTAGGTAAAAGTTTTTTTTTATATTTTCAGATTTCACCAACTACACAATTGAATTCCTAAACTATTAACGTTCATAGCATATTCACACAGAAGCGTGATGTCAAGTTTTTAGTAAACAGTACAAAATCAAATACGATCAAAGTAAATTAGACTAATAATAATTTTATTACATTTCTGCTTTTAACAGACATTTATAATTTGTAAATTTGTTATACAAACAAAATTATTTGCTAAAGATGTTTCTAGTGTTTGAAGCAGTAATACGTTACCAATGTAAATAGTTATTTCTAGCAATCGAATAATTTAGCTACACTATTACAATTCCATTTTGATCAATTCGACTTATGTAGTAAAACTTTTTTAAAATGATAGCACACAACTGTATTTTTTTGTCATTATATTTAATACTAATAGTCAACTTTGTAATGATTGAATCAACAAAAAAAGTAAGCATAATTTATTTTTCACAATCTTAAAATTTCGTTTTTACATATATAAATTAAGATGTTCTAAATTTTTGCAGTTTATAATAGTATATAGGTTTATTATATATATATATATGTATGAAAACATATTGTTCACTCAAAGCTATACCAAAAAGCTTGAAATTAAGCATCTATGTTCGGTCCTTCAAAACCAATGTAATTGTCTGTAAGAAACTTGTCTTTAAACGTGCATGAAGATTTCCACTTTTATATTTAAATGTACAAAGTGATTCAGAAAATATTTTTCAAAATATTCACCGTATAATTTTCCCTAAGAAGCTACAGCATCATATTAACCTAAAAAATAAATTTAAAAAGGGATTATCTCCGAGTAACCCAGTACAGTGGAGTAGATACATAATGGGATCAAATCGTAGTTGGACAGAGAAGTCACAGGTCTACAGGAATTATTATTAATAAAAGTAATAAAACCACTTAAAAATAAACGCCTTGATGATATTTTGTAAACCCTGCACCTCACTTTAATATTTTCTTACTGTGTTGGATTATACTGAACACGGTTTGGACTTTACTAGTTTGAAAATACATAATTCCTCTAAACATATGACCTCTCTGACCTCACTATGCCCTGACACCACTGTACTGGCTTTGTAAATTATTTGTTTTTTTTTTAATTGCATTAAAATATACGAAGAAAATTAAAATTAAAAGTTGATTTGATAAAAAAACAAAACAATAAAATGAAAATCACGTGGTTCTTTTTCAAATTATTTAACATTTGTTATTATTGAGCTAAATATTGCTCTCTTTTTAATCAAGACCTAAACATAACCGGTTTATTTGACATAACTCCCGTCGCGGTCAGTTATCGCTCGTTACAGTGAAGTTACAGTGAACATGGACACAAACAAATCTCACATCATTATAAAACTATTAGCATCAAAGCTAAAATTAAAAAAAAAATAATACGTTTATTGGAAAACAATAACATAAATGGATAAATGGAAAAGTCTCTGAGTTCTATTAACAGCTGTTAGTAATTTTTTTTAATATTGATACCCTGTTAATGAATTATAAATGTACCAAAAAACATTTTAAGCCTGTATGTGTATATAAAACTTACAAAGTAAAGTAGGGTTGGTTGGGTACGTTTTTTTATATTTTAACAGCTTACGTACGAGTCCGCAACACCACGGGATACAGTTTTATGAATCGTTCCGCGAACGCCTCGAAACCACTTGAAATATTTTTCGTTGCTAACCGTGATCAATTTATTGCCAAAACATTCACTGAGTTATTTTGAATCAATTTAACCATTCATTCAAGTTTGTTCGTTGTGAAAACAACACATAATTAAAAAAAATTGACATCCCCATCCCCACCTTCATCCCCAGCGTTACATAACATTATATGGGTGTAGAGATGGAGATGGGTATAGAGATGAGAATGGGAATGTTAAATTTTTTGAGTTATGTGTTGTTTTCACAATGAATAAACTTGAATAAATGGTTACATAGATTCAAAATAACCAAGTGAATGTTTTGCCAATAAATTGACCACGGTTAGCAACGAAAAATAATTCAAGTGGTAACAAGGCGTTCGCGGAACGACACATAAAAATTTAACCCGTGGTGTTGCGGCCTCGTACGCAAGCAAATATAATTTTCGGTTATGAGTCAGAGCAAAGACACAAAAATGTCAAAAGCAAAATATGTATAATATTTATAAATAAGTACATACATTTTTTATAGGTTTCGCCGCCATATTACGTCAGTCGAACATACTCCCTTTTCTACGTTAATACAGTGAATACATTGAAAACCTACAACCAGCAAGAAATAAAATTTAACGAAAAAGAAATTACAACTTTGCAAACCCCTGTTCAGACCCTTAACGACACTAAAGGCCGCAATATTGTGTTTGATAAATTTTACAAGAAAATCGAAGACATTAAATGTACTTGCTCATTAATCATAAAATCAAAACTGGTGCACTTGACAAATATTCTGGAAGGCTTGCGAAGAGGCGGAACTATCGAAGTTGCACTAGATGAACTTAACGTATTAAAAGAAGAAGCTGGTTTTATGGTTCTGCTGTTTGAAAAGGCCAAAGGCAAAGCGGGTAAATGGTTTTGGAGTTATTATTTCAAAATCATGGCAATGATTGAATATGAGAGCAACAAAAATTTCTTCAGGGAAACTCCTTTCGAAGAAGAGGAATTACAAAGCGATATTACAAATTATATAGAATACTGCAAGAATAACAAATATTTTCCCAAAAATAAACCACAGGATGATTTGGTGTCGAAAAATCCCAATGTACCAATTAACATCTTTAAAGTTCTGCAAAGGTCTGTAATTATTGGTGTACATTATGCTGACATCATGCAGCACATTTCGATCGAATATTTGTATCTAAAACCATTATGGGATGAACACGAATTACTGTTTGCAAAAATAACAGGCTCAGTCGTAGAATGGAGGCCAACGATAAGACGCCACGCCGCCGAAGTGAATAAAACTAAGGAATTCATTGAAAACCGCGAATGGATATCGAAGCCGTTTGGCCACCTTACTTACCACAAGTTGATTCAACAAATCATCAGTGTGAGGATGTACACTTGTCTGTGGGTAATGTTAGTAATGTTCAACAAAGAAATGCCTAAAATGGATCTGTTGCATTTAAAACTTTTGTACATGGAGTCAATGCGAACAATTGACACGGGACCCGAATTCATGCCATATACCGACACTTTTTATTCTGATGTAGTAGCAGAGTTTCGTTATGCAATGAAAGACAACCAAAACGTCTTTGATAGCATTATTACTAGGATATCCGCAAGAGTTAAAGAAATTTCAGTTGAGTTGAATGGCTGTAATTCAAATGGAAGTGATTGGATCAGTATTGACATAAAAGAACCGTTGACTTATGCTATGATATTGGAATTTCTTGGAGAATTTAGGCATTTCTTTAATCTGTTAAAAGAAAAGATAAAAGCTGTTAACTATGAGCTTGCATTAAGTATGGCGGTCGAAGGAAATTGATATTTTTGAGTATAACGGAAAACCCATTTATGCTAGATTCCACTAATGGTACAGTAGGTCGTAAAAATTTGGCCTTTTTCGTTTCTACTAAATTCCCAAAAAATCGTTTTCGCGTCTTTTATTATTTTAATTACTTTTTATTTTAAAATGTGTCCAAGTACATTATCCTAATGTTTTTTTTATATATAATTTTATCTAACACACAAATCGTATTATCTATTAAACATAACAAATATTTTGGTATTGTAGAGTCCACAAAAAAAATTGTGGACTTTAAGAAATTTATATTGAGAAGGAAAAATAAATTCTTTATAAGTAATCCGTCTTGTATGTAGTATAAGGCTTTTAACGTTTTTCTGAAAGACTCAAAAATAATTTAATGACTATCTGTAATAACACAGTCAAATTAATATAACTATATCTTTGCTCTAAATTATTTTTTTTCTCTATCTTATCGATTCATGACCAGATATTTAAATAGTTTTGCACTGTAAGATTGTTATTTTATAATTTACATATGAAACATTTGGTAACTTTATGAATAACAAACTAATTTTTAACTGCTGCATTTTTATTTTGCTTAATTTTTGTTATATGTAAAACATTGGAAGCAGTATGATGACGGAAATGTACTCAAATTGGTTTGGGTTCATTCAGCCATGGTCGTATAGAATATTTTTAGTTTTTTTTTATTCTTCTTTTTTATAGTATCTTTTACCATCAAACAAATTTACTAAAAATCAGTTTCTTAAGTTAAATAGAAAATGCATGAAAGGTTAAAATTCAATAAAAACCACATCATTGTATAAACATTTCTTTCTTAGCTGCGCATTGGAGCTAATAAATTACGAACACTTTGAACATGATTAAATCATGGTTTGATAATAATCTGGTAGAACTTAATTCAAATACAACATGTTTCGTCAATATTATATTACTAAACAGTCCGATAATAACAATAATATTTTCTTAATGTACATAATAATGATTGTGTTGAATATTATAGAGAAGGATGTATTAAAAATGGAAAGATTATTAAAACAATAGGCCGTACATCTATAAATCTAGTCGACACGGTGAAATATTTGATAAATACTATCGATTCTAACTTTAAATGGCAACAACGTATTATAAACACGGCTAAAAAGAGTAGACTACTATTTTATAAATTTAAAACTTATTGTGCCATAATATCTAATAAAACCTAGCTACTCTGTCAGCTCCCGGAGACGTTTGAATTGTCCTCTCTTGATCTTGCAATAAACTGTGAGACACAAGTACTTAAGCACATGTAATTGTTGATGAAAACAAAATAAGTGAAATTGCATTAATTGTTAATGCAAGAGCATAATAGGTATAGGACATAGGAATCATCAAAGCATAATTTGGTTTTTAATTGTAAACGTGTAAGTAAATAGTTACCTACACAAGGAAGTGTCAGATTTGTAAAATGTATGGTTTTTATTTTCAACTATACAAAAATAAGTTTGTATTATTTGAACATCCGTCTTGTAGTAACTATACGTTTAAACCCGTATTATTATAGCCCACCGAGTATAAAATCATCAATAGTAATTTTATTACAGTAACTGAACGTTTATTATACTGGTTTTTCTATGTTTGCACAAAATCTTTCAACTTTTTCACTACCCTCATTTTATTACAGCTTAAAACATTTCTAAAACAATAAGAGAGTAATATATTTTTTTTTTTTAAGTAGGGGACTGAAGAACCGTATATGTACTAAAATGCTTATCTGTGTATATATTATAGAATCTATAATAGAATTAGTGTATGAACATATCGAAAATAAATAATACAATTATCTAGATATTACAAAGAAGTACTTACAAAGTTTGCCAGTGGAAATTAATTTATGACTACATGAGAGTGGGTGATATTCGAATGCTTTCTTAAATTGAGAATGTACAAAATCTGCCCTTTTAATTATATCTATTTTTAGGATTGTTAATGAATAAATTGTCAATAGTCGAATCAAATCCTATCTTTCGCTCAGCGTTAGTTTTATTCATATCCTAAACATTAGAAAAATGATTGAGTGACACGAATTTGAACTCAGATTTATCATAGCATATTGAGTACTCGTTAAGCGCTCGACCCTGCTTTTAGTGGATGAAATTGATTGAGTTTTATAACTTAATTAGATTATTTCAATTTATAATCAAACATATTTTATTTTACCCAGCTATTAAACAAGAAGAGTTTTTAACGCTCAATATTTTAACGCTTTCTTGATTTAATTTTTTAATTTCAGTTTTTTTTTATTGATTTTTAAAATGTATCAAAAACAATATTTTATGCGGTTGATATGCATAACCACGTGTTCCTAAGGTAATTTTTGAATACCTTGAAACCAATTTCACCAAATACACAAGATACCAACATTATTACGGGTTATAATACATTCATATAATAATATAACGTCATGTTTTTAGTATAAAATCGAATATAAGCAAACTAGTCTATATTCTTTTTGTCTAAGTGTCTGGGTTTTACCAGATAATTACAATTTGTGGTTACGTTATTCAAACTAAATTATTTGATAAAGATGTTTTGAGTGACTGAACCAATAATAGGTTTCCAATTTAAAATATTATTTCCAGCGCTCGAATAACTTGGCTACAATATTTTAATTCTATTTTGACTAATTCCACGTATGTAGTAAAACTATTTAAAAATGATCACTCACTACTGTATTGTTTTGTTATTACATATTATATTGACGGTCAACTTTATAATGATTGAATCAACAAACAAAGTAAGCATTATTTATTTTCCGATATCTTAAAAGATAGTTTTTACACACTTATTATTTATAAAGTCCTAAAAATGTTGATTGATACTACCAACTGGTCCAAATTTTAGCTAACATACCAACCCCCATTTATATTATATTATATAAATGTATAATTTAATAAGTTTATAATATATTGTTTTAAAAGTTGACAGGTGTCAGGAATTTACTAAAAAAGAGAATTATGTATACAGGGTGGCCCACGAAGATTTGACAAATGAAATAACTTTTGTTCTAGTGAATATTTTTAAGATTTTTTTTAAAAATAATTTATACTCATTTGCGCTATAGCACAGTGGTTTTAATTGCACTTACCTGTTTTACTTTTTTTAATAGTTTTTTTTTTCAAGATAGCCATTTTGTTCAAAATAATTTTTAAAAAAGAATTGGTAAGAAAAATTTGTATTTTTATTCATCCGTTCAAAAGTTATACTCATTTGAAAGTGAGGATGACTGTCGACGGGAGGTTGAGTGCGGTAGGTAACGCGCGCTGATAAAAATAAATCTACGCAGTTTACTTAAATAGTGAGGGTTTTTCTGATTTTGAGGGTGAAGGATTGATTTTTTTTAAATGTTACATTCAAAATTATAAAAAATTTGCTTTTTAAAAGAAAATTAGTTATAATAAATAAACATTTAGTTTGCTATAATGTCTAATGATTTTGTCTTGTTAGAATTTACAATGTATGAAATCATTGCTCTCGAATTAAATTTTTTTTTGCGTTTGTGTGAGCACGTGTTAATATAACTAAATATATTCAAATTCGAAGGTTATAATAAATTATAGGTTCACATACACACAAACATACATACATAGGCGCACAGACATAAAATTGTAGGATTTCTACACACATTTTAAAAATTATATATTTTTTTACAAAATTTTTACAAAAAAAATCAACATAATATATTACATTTTTAATAAAATTACGTATAAATATTATATAGGTAGGTACAATGTTTTTAAGGCCCCTGGATACCGACCATTTTTAAGGAGTTTTATAAAGGCAAAATTTTTAAAAAAAGGCGGTTTTAGTAAATTTCGAAAATGTCAATTAATATACCGGTTAATTTGTATAAACGTTATGGTATTATTTTTAATTTATATCACTTTTTCTATGAGTAAAAGCCATTTTAGTTAATATAATAGTACATTTTTTGTCCATCGCACAGGCTGAACCAGTGATCTGATAAGTAATCTGAAAACAGATTTGAATTCGTCATGTTTACTTGAGATCGCTTACGTTAGGTTAGGTATTTTGATACTTTGAAAACTTAGTCTCCCCACCTTATCCTTGATCTACCAAGTGTCACAACTTACATAGTATCTAGTGTATGAGAGGGCTATCTTTTCGCCATGCGTGGCCGGCCCAGCAGAACCGCCTCTTTCTTATCTCATCGACTATGTTTGGTTTCTGATATAGCTCCCTAATTTCCACGTTGTTATTTAGTTTTATAATGGTTTTATGACTAAAACATTTGTGATTACTCATAAATGTAATATTATATCTGCATTATAGCGAAATCCGTGTTTTAAAAGTTTGAAAACTAAAGCAGACGTCTAAACCAAGCGCAAACAAACCATTTTTTGCTAATTTGTGAACTGTTTATATTGTGCTTGATTTGGACTGTACTGGTTTGGTCTAACTAACTACTATATGAAAACATTAGCTACTGATTTGTATCGAAGCATTTATTTGAAAGTGATTTTATCATTTTCAGTTGTCATAGTTCCTGTAAACCTATGACCGCCCCGTCACGCTATGCTCCGTCCTCGACATACTCCAACCACTATACTGGTTTTCTTAAGAATGTCATTTACAATGTGTACGATTTTCTAACTATTGCGTTGTATCTTATACTCGTATTAGATAAATAATAGTTTTCTCTTATATTTTCAGATTTCTGATTACAACTAGAAAATCAGATTCCAGCTCTATGAGGGTTTAGAGTATATTCATAAAAAAGTATGACGTCAAGCTTTTAGTAAACACTGATAAATAAAATACGATAAGTAAACTAACTATTTTTATTTTTTCTTAATGACTGGATTTACCCAGACAATTACAATTTGTAATTACGTTATATAACCAAAACTATTTGCTAAAGATGTTTCGAGAGTCTAAAACAAAATTAGATTATCAATGTTAAACGTTTTTCCTAGCACTTCAATAATTCAGGTACATTATCACAATTCCATTTTGACTAATTCCACTCATGTAGTAAAAATATTTAAAAATGACCACACACGACTGTATTGTTTTGTCATTATATTTTATACTTTCAGTCAAATTTATGATGGTTGAATCAACAAAAAAAGTAAGCGTATTTTATTTTCCACAGTCTTAAAATTTCGTTCTTACACACTTATAAGTTAAAAAGTCCCAACATTTTGCTGGCTATTTCCAACCAGCAATAGCATTAAATCCAAATCTCAGCTAACTTACCAACCCCCTCTTCTCTTCTCTCGTCTAAATACTAGAAAACCACCCAAAAAATGTACACATTTTTCAACTTAAAATTACGATGCACTATAGTTTTTTTAAAAATAGTCGAAAAAGTTCCAAATTTATATGAATTATTCTTCAAACATAGTACTATCGATAAACATTAACAAACCAAAAAAATATCATAAACACTTTCCCTAGAAGGGAAAGAATTTTTTTCTTTATTTTACTTTTTCAAGCAAAATTTTAGGGATTTAGATCTTAAAATTAAAGCAAAGGTAGATCTAAAATGTAACTATAACATATATATGATTTTCTCAGAAATCTGTAGTCAAATTTTTTATTATTAAGGAAAAACACCAAAAATAGTGTAATTTTACACATTGGCCGTAGTCAGTTTCTAGGTTGCTATGTGTGAGTGAATCAACAGTCAAAAGGTAATGAAAATATTTTCATCATATTGTTAATTACGATA